AGGAAATACCTTGTTTAACTACTGCATTTAGTAGATAAGGAAACTGAAGCCTGAAGAAGATAAATGCATTGCCCAAGGTCACAGAGCTAATTAGTGGTTACATTGGCTTTTCTCTTTCTTGCCTGTCTGTTTTATCTCTTCCTTTCTTTCCTGAAGTGATGTTTGTTAGAAAATAGGCACCCCGTGTTTTCATAGCCCTATCATAATCCTTATCGCATAAAAATGCTCCAGCAAATCAGGACTAATTCTGTTATTTTTTGTTTTGTTTTGTTTTGTTTTCTGGCTACTGGTTGTTCACAGTGAGAACTCAGTAAATGTGTTTGAATAAATTACATTGTAATGTTGGGTGATCTGGCTCATTTTTCAATGCCCAACATCTAGCTGGTATCTGGCACATAATTGATGTAAACATGTCCTTGTTAGAAGACTGAATGTAGGATTGGTGGAATGGCTCTACCATTTTAGTATATTCAGTTCATTCAATTAAGGTCAAATATGGAAACTGGAAACAAAAACTCCTGTTATTCACCTCCACCCTTTTGAACACGGTGACTCACTTCTAAACAATAGAGTAAGGAAAAAAACAAAATTGTAATTTCACAGTGAAGAAACCTGGCAAATACTACCTTAATCAAGTGATCAGGTTAGCACCATAGAAATCATGGAGATAATAAGTTCTGATATGATGGGTAAAGAAGGGAACTCCACCTCTGCAGTATTCTTTCTAAGAACCTATCGTTTCAGATTAATTATGAGCAAAACGATAGACTGGAAGGTATTCTACAAGACACCTGACAGTATTCCTCAAGACGATCAAGGTCAAAAAAGAAAGAAACAGGAACCAGCAGTTAGCATAATGGCTATGTCGCTGGACTCCCATGTAGTCAACCGCGGTTCCGCGTCCTGGACCCGGTGGCTTAAACTCATGCCGGGCGTGTGTGTGCGTGCGCCCAAGATCCCGAGAGGAGAATGGAGGAGAAGGGATTGCAGCGTGGCCATCCCCCCTAAGGGGTGATTTCTAGCTCTCTTTCTCTCTGTCTCTCTGTCTGTCTGGCAAGCGCATGCACCCTATGGCAAAAAATTCTCAAAAAAAGAAAGAAACAAACAAAGAATGAAAGAATATCAAAAGGAAAAGAAAAAAGCAAAGAAACTGTCACAGACCACAGGAGACTCAGAAGAGTCAGACAGTCCATGAGTTAGGTTAATTCATGCTAGAAAAAACAATGTTGTACACTGTAAAAGTATATGCGGTTAAATGTAAATGAAAATTTTTTTTTAAAAAAAGAGTTCATTGTGGGACCAGCAGTTAGTGTAATGAATGGCTATGCCGCTGGACTCCCATGTAGCCAACCGCAGATCAAGTCCCGGACCTGGTGGCTTAAAACAAACTGGGTGCGTGTGCATGCGTTCCCAAGATCCCTAGAGGAGAATGGAGAAGAAGGGATTGCGGCGTGGCCATCCCCCCTGGGGGATGATTTCTCACTTTCTATCTCTATGTCTCTCTCTGTCTTTCTGGCAAGCGCACGCGCCCTATAGCAAAAACACCTCTCCAAAAAAAAAAAAAGAGTTAATTGTAATGGTACATCAGTTTCTTTGACCAATGTGCCACGGTAATAGAAAAGAGAAAACTGGGTGGAGGATATATAGTATCTACTTCTAGTATCTTTGCAACATTTTTATAGATCTAAAATTACTTCAAAATAAAAAGTTTATTTTAAAAAATTTAGGGATGAATACTGGATGATGTACTTAACATATTAGAACTTAAGGAAGGAATTTGGAGATAAATCATCAAGTATAGGCAGAGTGTGTTTACATGCACCCTAAGTTTAAGCATCGTGTCTTCACCATAGACTTCAATATTACTAGACACAATAAAACAAACAAAATGATCAAACACATTTTCTTCCCATAATCCTTCTGTAATGTTTATTAGCATTTTTTATTCTATTTTTGAAAGCGAGAAAGTGAGTTGGAGGGTGGAAGTATGTGCAATGTGCAAAGAGTTGCCTCAGAACAAAAAAGCTCTGCAGGGAGGAGGTTGGCCCCTACTCAGGGTCTGTTTGGATGGGCCTGTAGGCTAATGAGCCGTGGGACAGGATCGGGACTTTTCAATGACAGCAACCAAAATAATCAGAGTTACCATTTTTGGAGAGCATGCTAATATGCCAGACTTTACACTAAGGCTTTTATTTACAGATTATGTTTAACACTCAACACTCTACGAGGTTGCAATTATATTCTCATTTTAAAGATGAGAGATTTGGTCACTAGAGAAATTAGATTACTTTGTCAAGGTTGCAACTGAAATTCAAACACAAACATGTCTGACATTTCTACTAAATTAGTAAACAAGAAAATTCCACTGGGCCAAATGCCTAAATACTTAATAAGTATAAAATCTTAATATTACTAATCTCAGCCAATACACTGATATCCTAGATATGTCGTATTTATCCAGATAATACTCATTATACTGAGGTAATATATGCGAAAGTAACACAGAGAACTACATTTGCTACACAACAAATGTTAGCCCCTCCCTCTTTATAGAATACATCTGTTTTCAGTTAGCTCCAAAAATGGTTTTTGCTGTGGAGTTTTAGACCCTAGACTCATGCAAATTATCATGGCAATTCAAAAGTACAGAGAGAGTTAGTGCCAAAAGTAAAATTTAACCAGTTGCATCAAATAGAGTTAAATGTTGGCCAGCATCTAACATATTCTAGCTATAAAAATGAATGCCACATGTTGCTGAATCTATTTTGGGATTAGGTATAAAACAGATATCAAAAAAATGATTATCCCTTACTTAGAAAATATGACTACATGCTTCATTGAGGAGCCATTTATACACAGACTGATCATCCCTAACCTGAACATTCTAAATCCAAAATGCTCCAAAGTCTCAAACTTTTTGAGTGTCCACATGAAACCATACCTGGCCTCATGTGATGGGTCACAGTCAAAATGCTACAATATAAAAATGTTGCATGAAATTATCTTCAGGATATCGTTTAAGATATATGAGATAAAAATGAATTGTATGTTTAGAATTGGGTTCTGTCCCTGAGATACCTCATTATGTACTTGTGAATATTTCAAAATCTGAAAAATTTCAAAATATCCCAAATCCTAAACATTTCTGGTCGCAAGCATTGTAGGTAAGAGATACTTACCTTGTATCTGATTCAATTTATGGGAATAATTTTCCACTGTCTTTGTTACAGATTCGCTTCAAAATGGTTTTTAATAAGGCCACTTTCAGGACCAGCAGTTAGCATAATGGCTATGTCAGTGAACTCCCATGTAGTCAACCAATGTTCAAGTCCCGGACCCAGTGGCTTAAACTCACGCTGGGGGTGCGTGCGTGCGTGCCCAAGATCCAGAGAGGAGAATGGAGGAGAAGAGATTGCAGCGTGACCATCCTCCCTGGGGGGTGATTTCTCGCTTTCTATCTCTCTGTCTCTCTCTGTCTTTCTGGCAAGCACACGTGCCCTAGAGCAAAAACCTCTCCAAATAAATAAATAAATAAATAAATAAATTAGGCCACTTTCTCCTTATGTTCTTTCTTTTAAGTTAAATACAATAGATTTTCCCCTCTTGTAAATCATAACCATTATCTTCAGGACTGATAAATCATACCCAGTGAAGAAGACTGAATGTTGTAAGTCTAAAATTTATCAGCAAGAACTAAGACAAGAGCTATCAAAAATGAACTCCTTTCATACTATTACTTTAGGGGAAATGCTCCCAGGTGAGATGGGGATAAATGGAAGAGGGTTGAGAAGGGTTTGAAATAGAGCTGAGAGAATTGAAAACACAGGAAATTCACACAGAATTCTCTAATAGATTCAGGTATTGCGCTATTGGGAAAAGGGATCCTTGCTCACTACCCACTACAGATTCTAAAAGCCCCTGAGACCACTCCTCAGCCTGTCCTTAGATTTCAGGATTTCTACCCACTGAACCTCTCTCCAGATTGTAGGCTCAGAATTAAGAGCTCATAAGTCACTCTCCCAGAATGCTTCCTCTACATCAACTGAACCAGTTTTAACTATTTGCCTTTCACACTTCTAGGCTGGTCCCCGCTTAGAGAATATGTTGAAGATAAGCTCATAAATCTTTGCTTTTTCGATACAACTCCTTTCTTTCTGCGGACACCTTTGCCTATTCTCTTATAAACTGGTCTTCCTTATCTTCTCTGACTTTTTTGTACTTGACTGTTCACTGCTGGTGCCCAAAATGATCAGGGAGCCCAGAGCCCTCATATACCCATGGCCTTGACTTCTTCTGACCGACTTTGCCCAGTTGCCTCACATATCATGAAACAGACATAAATCTTAAATAGTGACTAGAATAAAGTGTCCAATAAATACTGATCAAGAAGGTGAAGTAACAACTATCCATGCCTTCAAAGATGCATACAGAAAATACAAACTTTGAAAAGTAACTTATATACTGACTCGGTTTTAAGATTTCAAAAGCAATGGCACCTCATCATCAATAAACCATTTTATCGTCGCAACAATCATCTCCTGTGGGGCTTTCTCTGACATCAAACATAGCATAATAGCTGGAAGAGCTGCATGTATCTTCACGAATAACTCTGCCACACCTACATGAAGAACAATGACAGTGCAGGCCCCAGGACGAGACTTGTGTTGTCTCAAGAGTGCCTAAATGTTACAATACCATGTGGTATCACCACCTTTTTATTTTTCTCATTTTAGGCAAATCTGAGACTAAAATGGTGAATAAGCCAAGAGATCCTGGTGTGACATCCACAGGGGAATCATTTTGTTCTGCTGCTGCTTTCATCTATTGTTTCCACCTTCTTCAGGCCAAATGTAATCACTTGGAGTTCGCATGAGACTGTGTTTCCCTTGCTGCTCCAAACATGGTTTTCAGCCGTAAGGAGTAGTGAATCTACCCATCAGATACGGGAGAATCAAGAAACTGAAGATCAACATGAAATTAACGAGGCACTGCCAACTTACAGGCTTCCCGGAGTTTCTCTTTGTCATAGTGGAATCCTTCATAGTCTTGTAAACTGATTTTGTTCACTCGGATCCTCAGGCGATCTGGGACAGACTGGGGACTGCAAAATAAGAACCAAATGGTCAGATACCAGTGAGAGAGTAGAACTGAGAATTATGCATCTGAAGAAATAAGGGAAAATATCATCTCTTTGTGCTTAAAAGGAAAAGCTTAGATCTGAACCAGTTCTTTACCCAAATACAGCAGTTATTCTGGAGAATACTTCTCCAGTGACCTAAAGTTTCAAGAATTTAGGCAAGACCATGGGAATAAGCAGAAAGGTATTTAGGGATCATTTGCTTTCATATTTGCTATTAATTTATTAAAATTTTTAATAATTCCATGTGTTTAGTTATATAATAAATGAAATACAACTAATCCAAAATAGCGAAAAGTGGGGAGAAATTTGTAGCGAGCTACAGGCAAATGTGTCCATAACAGTTATACACGGTCAATGGCAGTCTGACCCCAGAAGAGATAGAAAAATGTAAAAAAGCAGACTAACAATCCAGAAAGCCCAGGACTGAGATTAAAATATCTCTACGGACTTCAAAAGTGTGGGAATGCTTCTCAAAGACCTGTTACAATAAATGCTGTCAAACTAAGGGAAAAAATTACATATATATACAGTTTACTCTCTTAAGGTAGAAAATAAAATGTGTAACCCATTTCAAAAGAATTCAATTCGAACTTGTCCAGGACACATATTAAACAAAAGGGGGTGGGGCCAAACTTTGTGAAGCACCCTGTTCACCCTTGGGATAACGTTAACTAGCCGCCTCCGATTTTCATCTTAAATAATGTTTTCAAAGTAGCTTAACTTTGGACACTGGTTGAGTGAACTGATTTAATTTTCATCATCACCACTATGAATCAATACATCTCTTTAACATACTAATATAACAATCCCTATTTGTCCTTAAATACTACTTTATACTTAGATTTTCTCCCATTGAGAAAATTTTTTCAAATACAGGATTGCATCTCAGTTTTTATATTAAATGGTGATGAAAGTCACCGTTCAATAAAGTAGTAAGACTAGTACTACTCTTCATTTCTGTAAAGAAAGGAAAAGAAGAAAATTGAGAGAAGGAAGGAAGGAATACTGTAAATGTAATAATCAGGGTACCTCTTTCTCCCCATACTTCAAATGCAACACACAGAGACATGGACAAATACCTATGTAATTTCATTGCAACTCTGGATGAGGAAGGAAAAAAAAAATCTTATTCTCTTTTCTAAAATTTCATGTTAGGGCAAAGTATAGTAACTTTCTTTAGGCAAATTCTTATTCTACTTATCCCAAAAAAATAAACACATACATATCCAACTATAGATACATATGTGCACACCCACACATGGTTTTTTTTCTCTCTCTCTCTCTCTCTCTCTCTCTCTCTCTCTCTCTCTCTCTCTCCCTCCCTCCCTCCCTCCCTCTCTCACATGTACAGATGAGAGAGAGATTTAAACTGTGATGATTTTTAAAGTGTAGATGTAAATGCACAAATACTGGAGAGAGATGGCAGACAGGGAACAGGGTCTGTTTCAATCCAATTGAAATCACTCAATTACAAAACCACAAACATGAGTATTCTTTAGGGAAAGTTGAACAAACAAATTCAATAGCTATATTGCTCCACTCATTCCGAATGTATTTGTTCAGTGTCTACTTCATAGTGGCATTGTGCTGGACATTTAAGGGGCGTTGATGAGCACAGCTGACATTAGTCTTAAAGTTGTGATAGGAGATACAGTTTGACAGCATAATACTTGCAAATTAGGACAAACTTTAAATATCATGCATACCCATAACATCATTTATAGATAGGAAAACAGGTTCAGGAAGGTGAAGTGATTTTAAGGTCACATAGCTACTAAGTGGCAGAGCTGGGAGCAGAACCTTGGACTCTCCACTCTTGAGTTTCATGCTCTATCACATTGTGCTTCTCTCAGAAGTTCAGACTCTTTGGTCATTGAGTAAACGATGAGGATCCTATGCATTTTACAGCAAAGCCATGAAGTCTGAATTGGCAGTCAGATAAGCTTTATGTGGTGCTCAGACTATCAATAAACCATTGAAAGGAGGATGCTTAAGTGAACTGTGGTATATTCAAACAAAAGAACACTGGGCAGTTATTACAAATGAATGTAGAGATCAACCTATATTTATCTAGAGGGAAATACATTGGCTATCACATATTGTTAAATTCTTTAAAAGGCATGGAAAAATATGCATAATGTAAGCTCCTTCATATAAGTTGCAGAACTTATGAATTTGTATATGCGGAGACGTGTCTGGAGAAATGTTCAACAAGCTGTTCTAGGTAGTTATCTCTATGTGCTGAGATCTGGGATTATTCTACATTCAGTTGCATCATTTGTAGAGAAATAACAGAGGTACTTTAAAAGTATATTCATATGGGGACAAGCAGATGGTGTAATGGTTACGTAGCTGAACTCCCACATGACCAATTGCAATTCAAATCCTGGATCCAGGGAACCAGCAGTTAGCGTAATGGCTATGTTGCTGGACTCCCACGTAGTTGACCGTGGCTCACGTCCCGGACCTGGTGGCTTAAAACTCATGCCGGGCGCGTGTGCGTGCATACCCAAGATCCCGAGAGGAGAATGGAGGAGAAGGGATTGCGGCGTGACCATCCCCTCTGGGGGGGTGATTTCTTGCTTTCTGTCTCTATGTCTCTCTCTGTCTGGCGAACACACGCGCCTTGTAGCGAAAACCTCTCCAAAAAAAAAGAAAGAAAGAAAGAAATCCTGGATCCAGTGGCTTAAAACTCATGCTGGGCATATGTGAGTGTGTGTTCAAACTCCTAAGAGGAGAATAGAGGAGGGGAAATTGCAACATGGCCATCCCCACTGGGGAATTATTCCTTACTTTCTATATCTCTGTCTCTGTGTCTCTGGTGAGCACAGAGCCCTATAGCAGAAATATCTTTAAAAAAATGTTTTCTATATGTACATAAATGATAATATAGAGGCATGAACAAAAATAAATCTTAGATCAAAAAGTGTTACATTTCAGATACATACAGAGAGGAAACAACTTAAGCAATTAATAGAGTGACTACATAATGTTCATACTAAATGCTTATCCCAAAATTAAGGGGGTCTGATCTTTTTATTTCCATGTTCTCCCAAGTGATCTGCAGAGTGTAATTAGCAAACATTTTCTTGCAAATATAGCAGATGAGAGGGAACCTAGAACTATAGAACGTGGATGCCCATCATACTCTGTAAAGGGAGAAGGGGACGGAAGGGGTTGAATGAACTGTACCTAAGTATTTTTTTGAGCTAATAGTAGATCTAATAGTAGTAGACTCCAAACTTCTTTAGTGGGCAAAGATGTCATTACCGTAGACCCAAGACTAATAACTTAAGACTAAGTCCTCATTTCTGCAGAAGTTACCAGTTGGGAAAAGGAATCAGAGAATGACTATGGACCAGTCACTGCACTCTTCCTTATGGAACTCCCCTGACTTTGGGCTAACTGTGTGAACCATCTCTCTCAAAATCCACCAGTATCTGCTCCCTGCCCACACTCTTCTAGCTCCCAGATTCCTATCTACACTCTCTGATTTTATCCCACTCAATCATAGGTCCCCAAAACCTTTATGACTTCTGGGGGATTCCTGACTTTCAGTTCCTGGATATACAACAAGAAGTATTATTTGGGTATAATTTTTCAGATCCCAAATGAATTCAAATGTTATTTCACTTAATCTCCAGAATGACAAACTAAGCAAAAGAGAAGAAATGGAGACTCTCATTAACCACCACTGAACACTCTCTCCCCTCCACTTTCCTACATATTTACTCATTTACTCTCAGCTCCCATCTTCTCCCAACAACCTACAACATACTGCACTTTCCTACTACTAGCGGCTTGCTTAAACTCAGAATTCTGAGCGTAATATCTGGTGTTTTAGTTCCTATCAAACACTGTCCCAGTTGAAGCTCATTAGCAACTGTTAGGGCATTAGGCCATAGGGTTGGTCCATAATGGAAACTCCTTTTGTATCATTCTCAGCCTGCATGTAAGCAGTAGATATGGGAGGCAAAACAGCGAAGGGGTGAAACTCAGGCTCCAACTCAGATTACTTGACTTGAAATAAAGTTCTTCCCAATTGCTGGTCAATCAGGAAACCCCATGCTTTAGTTTCTTCATACATAGAGTAGAGATGACCTCATGGGGATATAATGAGAATTAAATGAGTCAATATATGTGATGTGCTTAAAAAAATGCCTGGCACACTGTAAGTACTCCGTTAATATTAGCTATTATCGCTATAATAATTATTCTGAAAATTGCTCTCCTAGAGAAGGTTCTGCCTGAGAAACAACAGCATCTGCTGCTGCTGGACATCAGAATAAGTTTAGATCATATAGTGGAACCTCTATAGAGATTTTTGACACGATGCTGGTCATCCTCTAGAGAGAAAGTGACTAGCATGACTGGTGTCAGGACATTTCACACTCCTGGATCTTCTTCCACCTGATATTTTACAAGGCTTACTAGTAACCTGAAAACAGACAGCTATCATGTGGGAGAGAAAAGGTACACAAGTAATAAATTAAAGCCAAGAAATTCATTTTGTCTCTTTATGTCAAAATAGTGTCCCATTAAAGGCTGACAGAGATCAAGGATGACAAAATTGTTCCTTAGAGTCTGGAGAACAGCACTGCTATTAGTTTCCTAAAATTAAATTTTGCCAATGAAGTTAATAGAGCATTGAAGAGACTAACAACTAGGCTAAATTTAATAAATGAGCCCTTTTGCCAAGACCTATGGCAAGCTACTACCATATTAATATAAGCTCTACATTAGGGATTCTAAACCTAACTTCTATGGAAACTCTCAAGGTTTCTGAAAGAGACTCAGCATCAACTCCCTATTTTTTTTTTAAAGAAGTTTTTGCCTTAGGGTATGTGCACTTGTTGGAGACAGAGAGACAGTGAGAGGGAAAGTGAGAAATCACCCCCTGGGGGAATGGACACATCACAATCCCTTCTCCTACAACCTCCTCCTGGATCTTGGGCATGCAT